GATTCGATTTGATTCGATCAAATATTTGATTTGATTTGATTTGATTTGATTTGACAAATATTTGATTCAATTTGATTTGATTCGATCAAATTCAAATTGATTGATTCAAATTGATTCGATCAAATATTTATTTAATTTGATTTGATTCGATTTGAAAAAATCAAATCAAATTTAAATTGCTTAAATATTTGATTCGATTCGATTTTGAGAAACCCTACTAGATAGTTTTGAAAAAAAGGTATCTGTTTCTATATGACTTATTAATTTTTCATCTGATTTATCTAATTCATCAGATTCATTTCTTTTATCTAATTCATTTAACTGATTTGATTTATTAGTTATTTTTATATTTAAAAAAAAATTATTAAAAAATAAAATTTACATTTAAATTTATATTATATTAGAAATTAAATACTTATCCACCCACTCCTTAAAATATTAGTTTTAACAAAAAAAAAAACTGATTTTAAAATATAAATAAAATATAAAGAATTTTGTTAAAATATAAAGAAAATGTAAAAAAAAATTATTATTAAAGACCAAATTATTAAAATATTTAAAAAATTTATCATTAAAAAATTTGTAAAAAAAATTTATTTAAAATTCTTTTTATAAATAAAATATTATTTAAATACAATCAAAAAAATTATAAAATAAATTTTCTATTTAGTTAGTTTTATTTACATTATTATTGGCTAAAAATTCATTATTGAAAAGTTGATCTATAAAGAATTATCAAGTGATCTATAAAAGTTACTGGAATTAATTTATATTAATCATAAATTAGAAGATCTGCATAATTCTGGATTTATAGGATTCTTAGTATTCTTAGGATTTATCAGATTTATATGATCATCATGATTTATTAGATTTTTCTAATTCTCAATATTTCTATTATTTTAATTATTATCGTTATTTTTATTATTTTTATTGTTATTATTATCTCTATTATAACTATTATCTTTGTTATTATTATTATTATTATTATATTAGACCTTGTAATTACAAATTTCGTTAGTTTATAGCGTAGTAACTAGTTAGCCATAGCAAATTAATTTTGTATAAATAGAATAGCTTTTTGCTTAAGTTGTAAATTAACTTTCTTGTAAGTTTTTAAATACTTGTTAGTTTCAAGTAATAAATAAAGGAATCAACTTTAAAAAATAATTACTTTTCCTTCTACATGTTCATTATCTAGAATTTGATCATGAATCATTACACTAATTTGTTTTTGAGTTCGTCACTTAGAATAAATAAATTCTCTATGTTTCTCCTAAGTTAATTTCTTAAACCTTTAAATTCATAAAATCAAGTGAAGTAATTTTAAGATATTTCAGATACCTGTAAAATAAGAGATTCCTTAAGATTGTAAAGTCCGATGATAAGGAATTTACTTACTGTAGTAAAGTAACTTAGCAAAATACATGTGATAATCAGAGAATTATTCTCAGTAATAATATGTCAAAATGCATATATAAGATGCATAAATTATTAACTAAATAAAGTTCATTTATATACAAATCTAGATTAATCAAATGTAAATAAATTTTTATTATACAGTAAATGCTAATCATTAGTATATAAAATCTTAGTTAAAATTTATGTATACAAGTCAATAAATTATTGCTAAAATAAGAAAATTATAACAATTTCTTATGTAAAATTAACTTTTTTTATATATAATCTATCTATTTTTAGTAATAATTTGTGCATATTTTATGTTATACAATTTGTATACACAAAAAATTAATGTGCACATAGATTTTATATACTGCTAATTAGTTACGATACATTTGACTGAAATTTATTTGTCATCGCATTAAACATCACATATCAATTGATACAGTTACTATAAAATTATTATTTATATTATGCATACTGATAATAAATAGTTTTTGGTTAAATGGCTTTCAGTCAAACATTCGGATATGCTGCTAATCATGTATCAATCAATCAGATGTTGATCATCAATCAGTGTTAGTAGTGTTAGTAATAAAAAAAAGGCTGAATTTTTTTTTTTGAAATTTTTTTTTAAACTCCATCATTTCTAAATTCCAATTTTTTTTAAATTCCACTTGATTATATTTTTAAAAATTCAAATATTATCATTTCAAATTCTGCTTTATTGAATTTTAAACTTGAATTGTAAATAAGTAAGGGCAGTGACATTTATTATCTAATAAAATTTTATTATAAGCATCTATCCCCCCACCTTCAGGTAAGATATTCTGATTACGTGTATGCAGATCATTTGCCTTTTATAGAATTATACATCAAAAGAACAAAAAGTCAAATTAATCAAATCCTTTATTATTAAATAAATTTTAAAAAATTTAAATATTTCTAATTGTATTTTCTATTCCAAATTCTAAAATCATGTTCTAAAATTTTAAAATTATGTTCTAAAATAAAGTATTCTAAATTGTATTCTAAAAAATTGGTATTCTATTATGTTGCGTACTAATAATGTTTATGCATCATGACGATCATACACATTGAAGAGGTTTTTACGCTTAAAAAAACTAGTCTTGAACACATTCGATTTTTTTCATACTTTCATTGCAAAGAACTTTTTTTATAAAACAAAAACAAATTAATATCATATTTAAGTAAAATGAATCGTCAGACCTTTTTTCTTAACCTAGGTTTGACAAGAAACCAATATACAAGTCTCCCGCAAATAAGTATCAAAATTTCACAAACACCTATGTATACAACATTATGATTAAGACAGGAAATGGTACTCCTAACCGTGCTGATACTTATCATGAAGCTACACAAGAATAGAACAAGATTAAATCTAAAAACGAAACTGAAATTGATGATATCATTAGAAATTATTTTGCTACTCCATTTAATCTATACGATATACAAACTTTAAGGCTAAAATATCCTGTATCTAGAAAAAATCCAATTACAGCTTTAACTCCTCCTGTTAATCGTTCAGCAGATTCTGAACCAGAGATTCCAGTAAATGCATCGGCTCAAAAAAAGGTGGCAAATGAAATAATAATAGCCGAAAAGAAACTCATCGAATTTGAACAAATCTATAATTTTAAAACTGATTATCTAACTTCAGCATGATACATATATAAGGATAGAAAATCTTCGAGCTGAAATAAAATCTAATAAATTATTAAATTACAAAAGAACGCAAATTATGCTCGAAAATACAAAGAAAAAAAAGAAAAATACTTATTGAAAATCAGGAAGTGATACAGTATAATAAACCCAATCATCCTCCACTTCTTTTTAAACACCCAAATTTACATAATCATATTCATGATTCGATTGAGTTTGGGACAGCTGATGAAAAAAGAAGGAAAGAAGTAGTTAAAGTTCAGATAATTGAAAATTTGCGTAAAAATCTTAAGAAAAACTATAATGTCTACATGGCAAGAATAACACTAAATAATTACCTGCTACCTTGACAAGCCAACTTGATTATTGCAAGGACGCATCATCACCCAGCGTGGGTTGCAGTATCTGGTGTTTTATGAATAGAAACACGAAATCACCCAACAGACACTATTGCCTTGCATCAGTAAAATGTGCAAAGCAATTTGCTTCACTATTTGCTAATGCGAGTGTTGTTGTTTCTCAAGATGATAAGGTGAAGATTGGTTTAGATATATCTGTAGTAGGATAGACATTTCATAGATTACAATTGATTAATAAACCTATAAGTATAACAGATCATGACTTTCCTGCAGGGTTTGGACAAAAATTAATTCTATTAGTTTATTTTATGATAAAACCAAATAAAAAAAATGATAATCTATGGACAGGTCAACTTGTTATCTTTGTACATTGTCAATAGTCACTTGATACATCCTCACTTACGTACATGTAGGATCTTGAATGCCTTACCCAAGATTTCCAATATGATGATATACTGAAGTTTAACGGAGAAATTCGACCGATTTGGGTGCTATTAGTAGACAGAAGACTGGACAAGAACCTAAGGCATCTAAAAAATATAAAAATTTATTGTCAGCTCTTTAGAAAATTTAACCTGAACTATCTGAGCATATGAACACATGCCTCAGGATAATCCAAGTACAATCCTGTTGAAAGGGGAATGGCAACACTATCTGGCAAGTTGGCAGGTATTACGCTTTCTATAAACCACTTTGGAATGCATTTAAACATACAAGGTAAAGTGATAAATCCAGAATTAGCTCTTCAAAATTTCAAATATGCTGGAAAAACTCTTTGTGATATTTGGAATCGTGATTTAATCTTTGAAAAGCATGTAAATGCTAAGTATGTTGAAAAGTCCAAAAATCCATTCGAAAATCTGCAATTTAAGGGTAGGGATTAGTGATATCTGACATAACTCTTTTTTGAAAAATTGTAATTTCGTCAAAAGTTTCGTCTCTTTAATATTTTTATATGAATAAATATAAAATTATTATATTTTTTAATGTATTTTAATTCAAGGAATTAGATCAAGTTAAATATAATTTTGGCAATTAAGTAAAATAATTTTGTCATTAATAAAAAACTAGTTTCGTCATTTCAGTTTCGTCAATTTTGTCATATTAAGAAAGGTAATTTCGTTAGGTATCACTAATATGGATAAAAAGAAAGCAAAAGAACTGAAATGACAAGAAAAGTAAAAGGAAAAAGAAAAGAAAGAAACAACTAACTTAACTGAATGTTTTGTATCATGGTCATGGATTGAAAACCATTGTAACTTGTGTCAATATTCTCTCAACATCAAACGATGTACAAATGTAGACTGCTGTGGACCACCTCGTGCAAAGGAAGCTATGGAATTTCTTCAAATAAATGACAGTTTTTTGCCTTCTATCACAAAAGCAAAGGATGGACATTATATGCAGGGTTGGGAAGTACAGTATTAGTACAATGATTAGTACAGTTAGTACAGTTAATACATTATAATAATTAATATAAAAATTAGTACAAGTACAGTAGTAATTTTATCTAGTACATACAAAATTCCCAACCCTTATTATACGAATCCAATACATCTTCTTGAATATTACAATCGTTTAAAGGTTCTTGAATACTATTCGCATTATCCGTCTCTAAACAACTTATTTGCGCCTTTGCTGTTTTGAATGTAAAAAGTACTTTTCAACTCTCACTTTTTTAACAAATCACAAATGAATAAGACATTCTCGTGAACGATCTAAAAGAAAATCTAAAGTCAAATTGAGCAAAATTCTTTGACTCTTGACGATTTTTCACTTCTTCCATCCCAACAAGAAGAGAAAATACTTTTGTTAGACAAAATGACTTTAAGAGAATATGCTTAAGATAGAGAATAGGTAATTTTTTTTGTATGTATGCGTGTATGCGTATTTCATATACACGTATATGTAAATGTATGTAATAAATATAATAAATTACTAAGCCACCATTATTGATTATCATGTGATCTGATCGATTTATTATCATGTGATCAACATATATTATGTAACATAAGATTTTCGTTTACCTTCCACCCCCTAAAAAATTACCTAATAAATGTTATTGCCTTAATTTATAAAAGGAAATTTTGTATTTTTTTTTATTTCAAGAATATTATAATCAAATTTCTTTTTTCTTTTCTTTAAAGAAACTATTTTTTTTTTTGATTTCTAAACTTTGAAGTAGTATTTTCAAAAAAATAATTGTATTATTATTTTTTAATTAAAATTCTAATTTTAAAAAAAAATCAAAACTAAGTTAATTATATTTATTTTTTAGCTAAAATAATAATGTATTTCTATAAATGCATTTGATAAAAGATATGTATTATTATTTTAATTTATTGTTTAATAATAAGTTTTAATAATTTTAATATCAAAATTAATGAGTATTATTATATGTATACATATTTGTATACTTTTATTTTACAGATATTTGAAATTAGTGTAATAATTATTATATATAAAGATTTTTTTTTTAAAATCCTCCTTTTTTACAAAATGTTATTTTATTATAAACCAATTTTTTAATTTTATTTTTATTTTTTTAATTTTGATTTTACAATATCTCAATTTCAAAATATATTTGTAGAATTTTAAAAAAATTTAGTTATAAACAACATATGGTTATATTTGTAAATACAGATAGATTTGAAATATGGTTAGCAAGTTAAGTTATTGATTTTATAAGTAGTTACAATCCTTTTAAACCTTTTTAAATAAAAAAAATTGAATAATGCTTATCATCAATTCTTTAATTTGAGAAATCAATGCTAGAATGCAAAGAGTAGATAGAGGAGATTAGTTCAATTCTTAAATTATAGAAGTATACTTCAAAATATATTTATCAGTTAGATTAAAATTAAATTATACATCATATTATTTATAATTAATTTTATATCTATATGGTTTTGGGTTATATATTTTCTTCTACATATACTATTTTAACATATGCTAACTTAGATTTAATAGGATTTAAGAACTTTTAAATTTAATTTATATTAATTAATTAATTATTTATTTTTATTATATTTATAATTAATTTTAATAGAATCCTGTAAATATATTTGCAGAATATATAAATAATAATAAAAATGAAGACTTTTGTAAGGATTTATTTTTAAGTTAGCAAAGTTGAATCAAAATTTTTTCCTAAGGTTTTAATCAGTTGTTAAAAAAATAAGTAATTTTAATATAATTTATAAGTTAGATATTGCTGACAAGTATTTTATAGAAAATGAAAAGGATCTGATAATTATCATTGAAAATCAATCAGTTATTTTAAAATGTACTGATAAAATTGTTAGAGGAATTATCTGTGATGTAATAAAAAAATGTTGCAAATTATTTTGAATATAAAATGAAAAATACAGTTGATACTTATCCTAAAATAAATTGTGAACAAAAAATCCATGCTAATAGAATTCTTTCTAACTTGTCTATCTAAGATACGAAGTTTATAAGTACCAGATCTTACAATGTTATGAATATAAAAAGATCCATTAAATTTATCTTTAAATTTGTCTTCATGAATATATGATTGTATCACTTTAAATAATAAACTTTATCCTTAATTTGATAAGAAATTTCAGGTCAATCCTTTAGTTGATTATAATATTCATGCAAATTTTTTAGATCTATCTTTAACTAATTCATATGTATACAAAGAAAATAATATTGATCCAGCAATACAAAGGATATTTGATCAAGATAATAATAATTTTGGAAAATGATTATATAAAAATACTGAAAAGTATTTACCATAATCTATACTATCTTATGAATTATTTAAATAACAAGTAAATTTAAGTAATGAAAAAATAATAGGTGCAATAGGTGCAATCTTTATATAGAAAACTATAAAGCTGCAAAATATATGGAAGCTTTGTAATAGAAAAAAAGAAAACTCTAAAAAATTTTTTTTTTGAATTAATATTAAATTTGAACTTATTTAACTAAATAATCATAATTAACTTAGAAAGTAAAAGTTTAATTTTTTAGAGTTTCTTTTATTTCTACTGCAAAGCTCCTATATGAATAAAGATTAAATAAAGTTTGCAATAGGATTTGTTTTTGAATTTGGTTTAGTTAAAGAAATAAATGACATCAAATTTTATAATGTTAGTAAAACATAAGCTGAATATAGTACAGCTAAACTTAATTTTAATAAAGGTGATATTTGATATATTTAGGCTATAACTTTAATTGAAATAACTGCAAGAGTAATAGAAAAAAAGTAGGAATTATAGAAAATTAGATTTTATTATTATTTTTATTTTTATATAACTAAATAAACTTTTCAATAAAAAATTATTGATAAGATTTTGATTAAATAAAAAATTATTAAAA